TTTCCCTTTTGGTTAATTTAGCTAAGAAAATTCTTTGGCCATTTCTCTTTCTCACCCTGACTTCTCCTCCCTGTACAATCTTTTCTTTTCATTGTTTCATTCTCAGTCAGAATTTATGAGAACATGAACCATGTTACAGTTTTACCTGGATTGGTTTTATTAGGATATTTAATTGACTTTAACAAAACAAACCCTAAAACCAAAATTTTAGAGACCTTCCTTCTCCCCATGAAATATCTCATATTCTTACTGCATACCATGTCAGTCAGCTATTGCCATAACAAATCACCTCCACATTCAGTGGCATATTTAAGTACATCATCATCTCCTTACATTTGCCAGTTGGCTGGTGTGTCTCTACACACGTGCCCATTCTTCCAAGGCAAGTGGATTACCCAGGTCATATTCTTCTTTAGGAGAATGCAGAAGTCCAAGAGGGCAAGCCCAACCATGCAAGTTCATTTCACGTCTGCTTATACGCTATTTGCTAACATGCCTTTTTACAAAGCCTATCATAGATGCCACAAGGAAATATATTGTATCTCTAATGGGAGGAACTGAAAAGTGACAAAGTTGTATGGATACAGGAATGGAAGAATTAGGAGTCTATCCTAGGTATCTTTTTTGTGCTCTCTCCATGTTTTCATTTTACTCTGTAGTCAGTTATATGTATGTAAGTATATTGTGGTCCACCACTTTAACTTGATGTGAGTTGAAGATAGTTTCTATAGATTACATACACTTCTCTTAAAAAATCTGCAGTTTGCTTATCACAAGATATGCTTTTGAGTCTATTTGCATCAAAATCATTTGAGTGCTTATTAAATATGCAGAATACCTATAGTCACTGTCTCTGGGATTAATAATGGATTAAAACTCTGCAGGTTTGGGGATCTTCTTTATTTATAACTCATTAAGTCATTCTTATGCACATAAAAGTTAAAGAACCACTTCTTCAGTGGAAGGACATTAACATCTTTTTCATTTTTTACTATATAATAACCATCCACGTTTGTACAAATGAGTGGTTTCCTTGGTAGTCAATTATCTTTCCTTGGCCCACTATTGAATAATATATGGTTGAGAAAATTAAGACCTTATGTAAAGAATGACATTTGGAATATCTGTTAGTGCTATTACAAACAGGCTTGGAACATTTAAAAAATATTTCATGTTTAGTAAACTAAGACATTGAATTAGATAAAGAATTTCTATAGAAATTTTAAGTCTTTAATATGTAACATTGGGTATTACATAATTCAGTCAAGATTCTAGTGATAGTTACTAGTAATTTTCTGAATGATACTAGAAAATTTGATAGATCTAAAGATGATTTTCTTTTTCTCATATTTCATTCCTATAGATTTGGCAATTTGATTCTTTCATTCAGTTATCCTGATACTTCTTGGCATTTTATATGACTTTGTGTATGTTCTTTAAATTATTATTATTATTTTTTAATTTATTTCTTCCATGAGATGGGGAGAAACAGAGAGGCAAGTTCTTCATACCACAATGCATCACAGCCTCACCAGCCCAGGTCATGGATACATGCATTTGGTGTGCTCAGAGAGGGGCCAGGACGTGAACATAGGATCTTTCCCGTGTCAGTCCATTTGTGTACTGCTGTGCCATCACCCGCCCCTGCTTATATATCTTGTCATATATTGTGCCATGTCCTGTGAGGTGGGGCGGTGGAACCCCCGAATGGGAGCAGTGTTGGCTTGGAAAAAAACAGACACGCAAGTAGAGAAAAGCGGAGACTGGGCAGACCGGGTGTCTCTGATGGAGGTTGTCATGGCACTGAGCTGTTTCCAGGTTTATTCTTTCATAGGGCAATGGGAGAAGGAAGGTGTTTTTCTATTATTGACTGCGTCTGTGGAACATCTTGCGGTTCTAAACAAGCCTTCCCTGGTCTGCACTGGGAAGTTTACTTTAACTCCTTAAAGTTCTTAAGGTTTCCTTTAACCTCTGCTGGCTGTGCAGCATGGGTCCAGGAGAGCAGGTCTGTGCCTTCGCTTGTCTTTAAAGATCACTATTGTTTAGGTCAGATTTGGCCACTCCCTACAGTATCATATTATTACAGAGTCTTATTATGTCAGCTCTTTAATAAGATTGTTATAGAAATGAAAGTTCTTTTAACAGCATAGCAGACATTACCAACAAGTATCTAATATATGGGCATGCAAACTCACATACCTGGGAGATTTTCTTTTCTGAATAGCTTTTTGCCTAGCTGAATAATTTATTTTCCAGCCTCTCTAGTTAGGAATGGCTACACAACTTTGTTCTGGCTTCTCCTTAAGTAAAGTCTACTGATAAGTGTATTAAAAAGGCAGTTTTTATTCAAAGCAGATACTTTGGTCCTTTACCATTCCATTATCCTACCTAGAACTTAGGACACTGGAGGAAGAGACCATGGAATAAGACATATTATATGTGACACATAAAAATTTTGGAGTGGTAGAAGAAAGAAAGAGCTTGGATCCTTTGTTTGTGTCATGTTGGGTGTCCTTATCAGGTTTCCACTGCCCACTGCCAGTCTTCTTAGTGTTAGGAAAAAAGGCACTCTAGAATGTTGAAGCCGCTAGTTGGATGAAGTATGGCTTCTGATACATATGGTTGCAATAAAAAATGTTCAGATTGCATTATCTCAAACATTATAAGTTGCTTTTTTTCCTCCTTTTCATTTTGTGATTTTTTTTTTTTGAGGACCTTTGGCTTCTGAATGTATCTATGTTATGCTTATTTAAATTGTCAAGCGTGTTTTGAAATGCTTATTTTTCAATCTGACATCAACAAATCTGATCCATGCAGAACATATTCAAAATTCATTTTGAAATGATTTCAAATTTGAAGTTGCAAGACTAGTACAAAAACTTCCATAACTTAATTTTCTTTTTTTTTTCTGAGATTTTTGAGAGTAAGTTGCAGTCCTATTTATTTCCTAAGATATTTTCTTACTGTGTTGTAATTACCAAATTCAGTAATTTAATATTGATGGAATATCATTGCTTATTAGCCCATACTCATATTTATCCAGCTATCCGAGCAATATCATGGATAGCATTTACTATGAGGTGTAGCTGGACTTTCCATGTTACATTTGGTTGCCAGACTCTTAATGTAGAAACTCACTGTTTTTCTTTCATGATATGGACACTTTTCCAGATAATAGAGCAGTTATTTTGCACAGTGCCTCTCAGTTTGGGTTTGTCTGATGCTTCCTTAATTTTCACTTGGCAGGTTCTAGTTTTTCAGGAGGCACACAGTGTTATTTTATCCCATTATTGTCAATTATTGTTTTGATCTCTTGGTTAAGGAGTTACCGGTCAAGTTTTTTAATATGAAGCTATTTTTTTGTCCTCATAATTTGTAGGAAGAGCATCTGAAACTATCTGAATATTCTAGTACTCATAAGCTTTCATGTCATAGTTTTAATATCTGTTGAAGATTCTTGACTGAATTATTATTGAATAAAATGTAAGACATTTTTAAGAAAGATTTTAGCAATTCCAGATTTATTCTAGTGACTAGGCTTGTTTTTCCTGTCATATTCATTATGCTTTCTTTATTTCGTGGTGCTGTTTAATAGTTTTGGTTTTTAATTATGGAAGATCAAGAACATTTGATAGTAGAATCCTATCCCTCTATCTCTTTTTCTGTCTGATAGAGATAATAGATTAAACCGAGGGTGTAAGCATAACTGAAGCAAATGAGGAGAAACGATCGACTCGGTTGATGATCTTTTATGATAGTTGACTTGGAGAATGAGCTGGTCTTTTCTTCTTGAATCAATTTGAGGATACCCATAATGAAATTAACCCATCTAGTGTATGGCCTGCCAAAAGCGTGGATTTTCCAAACATCCCAGGTGCTCAGGTGTTATCCTTGGGCTTAACCATCGTGTAGATCACTTTTCTCTTCTCTCTTTTTTTTTTCTTTCCTTCTCTCTCTCTCTTTCTTTCTTTTTTAATAGTTTTTGCCATAAGGGCATAGGCATACTGCAGTCCCTTTTTCTCCCTTGTCCACTCAGGGTTCTGGGCATATATGCACATGCACCTGGCATGATCTTCAAGCTGCCAGGTCTGAGACTCATACTTTGGCCATGTGGGACTCCAGCACCTTAGCCTCCATGCCACCTGGTTGCCCCCAGTCACTTCTTTTCTTGTTGGGAGGCATAAATGATGGGGTGACGGATGGGCAGAAACTTAGTTCAGCGAGACTCCTTGGGGAGTAATGTATAAGTTCTCCTCTGAAAACACGAAAATGGAACCAGGGTTCTCCACAGTATGATTCATTCTTTTTAAAAGGTGAAGCATTTTCAGTCTTCCTTAAGTTTTATTATTATTATTATTATTATTTGGTTCAAGTACCTTTTAATTTCCACTTAAAGGTCATTTTCTTCTCCTTATGGATTTTCAAAGTATAATGTTTTTTCCCCCCTTTACTCTAGCACCAACAGACGTTTTTGAATCAACTGAGAGAAATTACTGGGATTAATGACACCCAGATACTACAGCAAGCCTTGAAGGTATGGCCTCTGT